TAATGCTAGCCGTCCCTGGTGTGAACATTGCTTTTATAAGACTTTTAAAACGTTTTTTATTTTGTATTATTTTTAAGGCCTGTCTGTAGCTCTCAACAAATTTTGTTTGAAGTCATGAAAATGAACAAAAGTTTTACGATTTGAAGAAGAACCGACTATTTTTCTTGTAGGGAATATGAATTTTATTTGAAACTTGCCTTATTTGAAAAACATCATTATTGTCCACACTAAAAGGTTTATTATAAGGGAAAAGGGATATTTCCATACACTACAAACCTTTATGCAGAGAACTTATTTAATTTGCAAAGGCCGAAAAATAATCATTTGCTTGGTTAAGAAATTTAATATTTGTATTGCTCACTTTATTCGAATCTTTTTTCTTTTGTTTTGATAAATTATAAAAACTAAATTGATCGGCTTTCTAGTTTTCTAACAGCCCTGAAGATGTTTTCACACTAAGCATGTCAATTAACTTATAAGGTACAAATATACTTGACGAAAAATCTCCTGCTTTGGAACTAAGTAAAACGTGACAAAAACTTTGTATATCTTTTTGTTTTATGTAAATATTTTAGTAGCGCTAAAGTTTAGTTGACAACAATTGCTCTATAAACTGTGTTTTTTTTTTTGTAAAAACCTTTCGGTCGGCAGACAAATGACCTTGGTATGAAGTATCTGAAATGTAGAACCGCAATCTGTAAAATGAACTAATTATACGGGCAGAAACATATAATTGTCCATTAGAAAACACAGATGTTCCTAATAAAATACCAACCTTTTGAAATGTTTGCCTCTGAAATTTTTTTATGGTCATACAAAAATCGGAAACGACTGGAAATCGAAATGAGGAAAAAGTTCCAGAATAGGACAAATATTTCTCTCGAATACTCCAAGAGCCGCCTCATCGGTTGTTGTCATTATCCATGCCTCTGCGCCATATACCAGCACGGGCATTATGAGTGACTTATAGAGTGTGGTTTTCGTACGTCGAGAGAGGACTTTACTCCCGAATTGCCTACTCAGTCCAAGGTAGTACTTGTTGGCTAGAGCGATGCAGTGTTGGATATCCATGCTGACATTATTATCGGTGTTAATGCTAGTTCTTAAATAAACGAAATTCTCTACTCTAATTATGTATATCTGACTGTTTGTTTGTTGACAGAAGATATTTCGTGTTGTCCTCGTTACCACCAGATCCACGCGCTTTGCTCCCTTTTCCAACTTCGTGGTTTTTGTTACCTTTTGCACTTGCATCACGTAAAAGTCTGATAACTCTATGAACTTGAAAAACACAAAATTCCGATTACTCGATAAAAATCAATAACTCGACTAATTTCGATAACTATCGAAAAAATTAGATAAATGTGCTTTTTCATCACTCGACAATCTCGATAAATCGATGAAATTCAAAAACACTAAACTCCAACAACTTGATGGGAATCAATAAATCGGCCAATTTCAATAACTTTCGATAAATTTTGATAACTGTGTGTTTTCATCACTCAATAACTTCTGTAATTCTTGGTAACTCAATAAATCTCGATAAGACGATAAACTTTGGATAACTCTGTAGATTTCGATAATTCGATATGCTCTTTTATTCCGATAAAATTCCATTAATCAATAAATAGTGATAACTCGATAAATCCATTTAAACCTAGAAATTTCGATAATTCGACATACTTTGAAAATTCGAAAAATATTGATTTGATAAAACGACAAATTTCGATAACAACCAACGAATTTCAATAAATCAGTAAATAAATATATATAGCTCGATGAGTTGAAAGAACTCTATACATTGTGATAACCCGTTAAACATTTCGACTACCGTAGCCTTCAATGACTCGATAAATTTGGATAACTTGATATCTTATCGAAAAACTCATCCTTTCAGTTATCCTAATTCTTGTGCACATACATATGTATTTCACATTGTTTTCATTTTTGACTTTATCGCCTTCACTTTTTGATCATTTCTTCTTTTCATCCTCACTCTTATCTTTTCATCTTCATTTCTAAGACAAAGTAAAACAAAATGCCAAAACAACTCAAATTGAACAGCTAACAAGAACAACTATACACATATCCGAAAATTTTTAAACCACGATTTTGTTCGTAATTTTCGACCAATTTTGAACCATAAAAGCTCTCCGTAACTACAGAAAAATACCTTTGCAATGGTGTTCTTGGTTTTTAAATCACTGATAAAATGCATGTATGCGTATTAATATATATATATATATATATATAGTAATAGATTGGATGGTCTAGTCAGTAAAATAAATTTCAGAACTTTATTTTTTGTAATTTGTGCCACTTTTGATTAGCTGCTGGCCCATAGGGCTGTGTAGTGGTAATTTTAGGTAAAATACAATCTGAGTGCCTCTTCCAACGCAAATCAAAAGTATTTTTTTACATGTGCAACAGAGGATTTGTCGCATTTAAAAAGACAGCATAAAATAATAATCCACACTTCTATAGTATTTAACGCGGGTCACACCCAACTTGTTTAATTTGTATGTACCTACATACATATGTGCTTCATTTTCGCCAAGGCTAACAGAATAAAAGGCAAAAACTCTTTATCACAAGTAGAGCGTTTGCCATTGAAAGCCGCGTTGAAGCGCACGTAAACCCCAACTAATTCCGATGCGACTATGCACCTATTTACATATGTACTTACTTCAAAATCTCTGTGCTACTCTTAAATTGTCTACTGCTCTATGTACTTACATATATACATACTAAGTATGTAGCTAAATGCAGCTCATGGTGATGCTGAGTAAGCGGTCATATGTAGAACAAACAGAAATTTACAGTCGTATTCGGTTGCATTAAGCTGTGGTCATCAACGTCATGTCGTAACACCCAAACAACCAAACACCCAAACACCCAAACAACCATTACAACCATTCAAATGGCAGGATAAGTGCGCTTACGTAAGTATATTTGCACTCGTGTGGAGCAACATGCATACATACCCTGCAGCAATTCGGACTCACCCTAGGTTAGCCCACAGATAGTCCCTATTTTTACCAACACTAGTCTCTCATAATTCCCCTGCCAATGGTTTCAACTGCCTTTTTTTAGCATTGGCGTGTCGTTGGAAAAGGACCGGCCCACTCAACAGTGACCGTAAGATAGTCCTGGACTAGTCCAATTTTGGAGATTTTTTTTCGTTGGACCACGATTACGTTCTGCACTTCACAGATGCTTTTTCATATTTCGGAAACACAAAAATAAAAAACCAT